TTTTTTTTTTTTTTTTTTTTGTGAAGAAATTGTTATTTATGGTGTGTTTGATGGATATTATTGAAGAAAGAATGTATTTTAAATAGTGATATGATGAGAAATATGTGGTTAAACAGTAAGGAAATGTTATTGAAGGGATGAAAAATATTATTTTATTAAAGAATGTGTGATTGAAAATGAGTTTTGTAAGAATGTATTTTGAAATAATGTGTACAAAACAGGGGCTTAGCCCATGTGACGTTTTCTTTGCTTTCATTTATTCTTATATTACATTTCCTTCCAGATACATAACATATTCGAAAGAGGAGGAGGCCTTGCGGTGTATTCAATCAGTACATGGTTTTGTTCTTGAAGGTAGGGATTTGAGGTAAGAACAGATCCCTTTCCTTGTCGTTTTGGTCAAATAACATACTACTGTAAATTGTTTCGAAAAAGTAAGAATTTGACCATTACTTGTGCCAGAGCATCATTTGGAACTGCAAAATATTGCCATGCTTGGCTGAAAAACACGGTATACATAACTTATCCTTTGTGATTGTTTCCTTTTCACAACATATTTATTTGAGAAACCTTGCAGGAAGTATTTCTCTCAGAATTTGAGTTCACAAATTTCTGACACTTGTTTTCTTGTCCCAGCCTTGCAATAATCCTTCCTGTCTATATTTGCATAGCATTGGGGATGAAAAAGATAGTTTTGGGAAAGATGAGGTTGCTGCAGTTCATACAAGGTTTCACTTGCACAACTTAGTTTTCATTCTTTTGATTTCCAATATGATGCTTGGGATGTTTTCTGTTTTTCAAAAATTAATGCTTAATTAGCCTACTTCACTATGATTGAAGTGCATATAATATTTCAAGCAAGCTCTTTTGGTTGAGAGCTTGTGATTTGATCAGAAAGAGAGAGAAATGGTGATAAATAGGTAACAAATAGGAGTATACTACCCCGGAAAGAAATCATTGTCCTATGAATTAAATCTGACATCCAACAACTGGTTAATCAACTAAACTGATTGAGGCGAATTTTTGTGAGCTAGAGCTGCCAATCTTAGACTTTCCATGTTTCACGTGTCTCAGATTGGAGGAAGACTGCTTATTCAGATGATGGAAGTACTTATGGCTGCACTGTGGCAGTTTGTCTTTAGTTTCTTCTTTCCTCTGCAGCAACCCATCTAGGAGAACATTGTCTTCTTTCCTTTTCAGATTCTCTGATAACTTCATTTGTCTTACACATGAAAGTGCTAATAATTATTGGAAAAGTGGAGCAGTAAAATCCTGTAATAGCTCGAGGGACTTCATTTTGCTGTCGCGAGGACGGCTTGATACTAATAGTATTAAAGAATTAGGGGAAATCCTGGTCGTTTCTTTTTCTCTCTCTCTCTTTTCCTCACCAGTCCACCGCAGTATATTCCACTAATCATAAAATTGTGTATTGAATCCTTGACTTGCACACACACAGTGGACGGGGCATCTATCCTCATTGCTTTAGTATTTTGCAGCATGGGAAACTTCAGATTCTTGCAAATGGCTACTCTTCCCCCTTTCTCGATGTAAATGTTTACTATGTAATATCTACCTTTGTTGGTTTTGACTTCTTTCTTGCTCTTTAAAGGAGTAGAGTCCAACAAATTGTTGGTGCTGCAAATAATCAGCTAAGGCGCTCTGGCAGTGTGTTGCCATCTCCAGTGGACTGCAATAGTAGCAGTCCTGACACAGACGACTTATCTACTGGCAGAAGTGCCATGATAGTAAGTAGTTTTATACGAGGTTTTGCTTGATTTCAAGATTGGTCTTAGACATGCTGTTCTTTCTCAATGACACCTTTTTTACATAGTTTACACTGATAAGTTTTGCATATAAGATAAAACGGTAAAACACACAAATGGTCACTGAACATTGCCTTAAATTTCATGTTCTTCACTGAACTTCTATTTGTTCCAAATGCTGAACTTTGGATCTCAGTCTAATGGAGTTGCTTTACTGAAACATTTTAAAAAGTTCAGTAACTAGTTTCAAACAAATTGAATTTCCATGACCAATATGAAATTCAGGACAAAGTTCAGGGACGATTTGCAATTTTTACCCTAAGATAATATTTGTTTTGTTGATAGTTGCTTGAGATTGAAAAATTATTGCTAAATACTAATGTTGTTGATTTCCAGGATGCAGCTCATGGTGCTGTAAATGGCAACAGTGACATAACATGCACAGTCCCTTTTAAGTACAATGAAGGAGTTCCAGTACCCAACAAAATGACAGCTTTTGTAGATATTGTTGGACAGTCTAATTTTTCTTGTCCAGTGAAAGATGAAATTATCCCTGAAGATGGGAACTTGTGCTCCAAATTATCTTCAGTAACAATAAATGGAGATGTACATGGAGTTCCATATTCTGTTGCTAAGACGTGCAAAGTTTCATCTAATCACCTGGGCATTGGATTGTACTGGGAGGAACAGTTTAAAGATATTACAGATGAACCATTTACAGAAGGTTCACTGTCGTATGATTATCAAGGATCAAGGGATTCTTCTTGTTCAAGTCACAGGCATTGTTTTCTCCAACAACCTTATCCTGCAAGCATTTCAGAGGATTTGTGCCGTCCTACTTTGTTGCATAAGAAGTCTCAGATTTTGAGTGATCTTAGTGCAGATCATAATGTTGTAAATAATTACGAGGATGAAGCTTCTTTACCTTTCAGATGTGTAAATTCGGTGTTAAATGATGGATGTCATGAGATGAAGTTCCAAAATTTTGCCAAATCAGATAGAATTTATAGAAATTCTAGCTCATTTTCCAACGAAGAAATTGTAGAGCACTTACGAAGAATTGATGATGATAAGATGACAAATAATGAGGAAAGTTCTGCTTTAGATGCTGTGGAGAGCAGTATAATTTCAAATATTATGTCCATGGATTTTGATTCATGTGATGATTCATTGAGACTGCCTAATGGTTCATCTGAGTTGTTTATTGAAACTGATGGTCTGCGTGGTTCTTCCTGGAATTCCCTTAATGGTATTCAATCAGGGTTCTCATTTTCAGAACAGGGAAATCAAGTGGCTGGAGCTATCCTTCCTGATTTTAGGGATAAAAAGGAGCAGTACTTGTGCAAGCCTCAGTATCGAGGTAAATTGAAACCTGCTTTGAATTTTGTTACTATTGTTGCTTGGCATTTAGCCAAACAATATGTTCTAGTTTTCGTTATCTTTCTATTGTTACTCACTTGCAAATTCTATTATTTCCTTTTGAAGTCTTGGTTAAATTGGTTTCCCCTCTATGTTTGTTACGTATTCCTTTTCTGGCTTTTAAGTTTTTGCTTGGATAACTTGTTTTCATTCAACTTCTTCACCAGACGATATATAATTGTGCACTGACCAACATTCCTATACTTTCTGTTTTTCACCGTTGCAAGATACATCTTAATTTTTTATAAATCTTGCTTTCGTTTTGGGTCAACTTTCTATAACACCAGCTGCTTTCTACTGTTTTTACCTGATATCTTTGGATGTGAAACTTGATCATTGGGGAAGAATCTTCCAAGCTTAGCGATCTTTTATCTCGTGCACATAATACATTCATGCATTCAAGTGTGTGTGATATGTATGTATATTTTCATGTGCATGGTGGTTTTATGAAAATCTATTCTAGCTTTGGTAGCCTGTTTCTTCATGTCTTGGTTTGGGACTATTATTGGATATGCACATCCAAACTTTTCTCGCTTTTTTTATTGATAAGGAATGGAATTTTATTAATTATGTCACATAAGGAACTTCCAACAAGGATAAGAAGTCCTCTTTTAACATAAGGAAACAAGTTCAAATGGCAAAATATAGTATTTATCTCAATCTTCCAACCGAGAACAGCTAAAGATAGAGGAAAATCTTTAAGCTTTTTAGATGTAGAAACCTGTAAAGTCAAAAGCTTGGCCATCTACAGGAGGCTAGTTATTTTTTTACCTAGGTAATGCACTTTCAGTCATTTCTATCCATATTGCCAAATTTTGTAGAATTGTGTCCTGACTCTTCTGACAGCTACTAGGCCTCAAAGTTTGGCTCCACCTGGGTTTTCGGTGCCCTCCAGAGATCCGCCTCCTGGGTTCTCTTCATGTGAGAGAATAGGCTCCTTGTCCTGTGCCTCATCTGGTGTGTCTTTCTGCCACAGCATCCCTCCCTCTCGCCCTCTCTCTCTCTCTCTCTCTCTCTCTCTCTCTCTCTCATGATCATTGTTAATCTATCTAATGTACACTATACCTGTGATGTTTGCAGGAAGTTGTTTGGTTAATGCATCCAACACTTTGGTTCAAATGCCTTCAACGGGATTTAGCAGTGCTACAGGCGATGTTGATTTCATTGATCCTGCCAAATTATGCAATAGGGAAGGTAAAACAATAAATGGGCTGAAAAACTTGGGCTTGGAAATGGGACTGGCTCGTACTCCACAGCTGAGTGCATATAAGGATGATGCCTTTTGGCTTCTGATGCATCAATCAGCATCTGCAAATCAACCCTCAAATATTTCTCAAATGTTTACACCCCAAACTCCATATGCCCAGCAAGAAATGAATTATGCTGCTTGTATGGGGAATGGACTATCTACTCTAGATGATATATACGGCTTGTCATCTAGAATAGTGGATCAACATCAAAGCCACAACCCATCCTCCTTCAGCCGACTGTCACAGCAGAAGTATGCAAATGGAAACAATTTAAATACTAATGGCTACCTACAGAGTTTGGATGAGACCCGACATAGAAATGAAGTGGACACGATAGAACTTCAGAGAAATGAGAGAATAGGAGTCAACAATTACTTTCCTGGGTACGAGGATTTAAGTTTCAGTCCAGGCGATGTGTACACCAGAGTATTTGGGATGTAATTCTCGTTGCTTGATGAAATGAATTATCCTTTTGACAAACTCAGTTGTCTATGTTTGAGTGGAAGATGAAAATTTTACTTTCTCAATCAACGACTTGCTACTTTCTATTTCAGATTCCCAGCATGTTTGGCTGTGCTTTAAGGTAACTTAATTTTGAATTACATATAAGCACAGCCAAATTAATAATTCTTTGATGCCTTCATAGTTTTAATTTCTAAAGGAATTCCAGGATTACCGATGCTGGCTAGTTAGATTCCATACTACAATAGTGATGTATGAATACAGAGCTATTTTTACCCTAATCCGCCGAAATAAACGCTTTGATCCATTGGATAAATCTAAAATATTTAGATGGTTACGAACATTGGAATTTGGGTCAAGTATGTCTCGGTAATACATCCAAATGAACACAATAACAATTGGAAACTGAAAATAAAAATGAGTAAACGAGAGAACGCATGCAAATTAAAGTCTATTAGTTGGAATTCACCCTTAAAATCGACTTGTAGGGAAGGGTGCACGATGATTATAAAACCACAAATGCATGTCTAGAAAATGTATATGAACGACGTTGGAATTTACGGAATAATTGTGATAATTAGTTGCGACTCTTCAAACGAAAATATTGCATATCAAATAATTGTGTTTTTTCGAATTTGGTGTGACTGTTCAAAAAATACATTATGAAAAGCCATAACCTTTTGATATAATGTAATCTAGACCATTAAATATGAAAATAATACAATGGTTTACATTAATTTAAGTCAAAAGATGTAACCGAAAAAATATTTGAAAATCAATGAGGTACCCCATAAATCCATATGGGTAATTATATTACCACTACGAATTTTAATTACTACACCACAGTATAATCACACCATAATTAAAATATATTTTTAATAAATACACCACAATAAATTTACAATTATTATCCTAATTCAATAAAAACAAAAAATAATAAAATATTGTGGTGTACTTATCACCAATATTGATACTCATTCTCTCAACTTTTCCCCTCATTGTTTCACAGCCATTAGAATCGAGAGAATACCACCCACATTTCTTCTTTATAATTATAGCATCCACCAAACCCATTCTTCCAGCTTTGAGCAACTAAATTTTTAGGTCATTTTTTGGGCAATCACAAAGTGACAAGTCAGGATTCTGGAGGTCAACATTTGAGACATTTCAAATGTTAATTTGTGCATGAATTTATTAACCCAAAAAGTTATATAATTAATACAATTATGAATTATCCGCCTTCAACTAATCTAATTATCTTTGAATAAACTTTCATGGGATTATGCTCTTGGAGGACGTAATATGTGCAAGAAGGATGTAGAAAGAATTTAGCATTCACTGCTCCACCATGGAACTGCAAGGAGAATATTGTCAATACTTAAAAGATGCGGGTTTCGACAAAGATGCAACACTTTCTTTTGGCAAACTGTATTGGTTTTTGGGTCCAGAAGGTTAGGATATAATATGTGGAAGTCTATGGTTTTGGCTGGTCTCATGAATGGAGAGAAACTCTTCCTCGTGAATAAGGATTATTAGCGATTTTCTGATCGAGGTATGAAACAACTAATTTATACTTTCTTTATTTTATTTTTTAAGGTTGAAGATGGAGCGTAATTCTGTTAAGAAGAAAACCGAAGGAACTAATCGATATAGTATTTTTGTAATTCTGTTGAAAATGAATGTGTGCAATTACTTTGTTTTTACTGTTGTTTCTTCCATAACTAAATTAAATTAATGTGTGCGAGTTTCCTAAACGTGAATTAAAAAGGCAGATTGCAAAAGAGTAAATAAATAAAGTTGGCAATCTCATTGGTGATTATGTTTGCAAGAAACAAGGAATAATCAAATTGAATAAATTTCTAGCTGTGCAAGAAGTTTATCGAAATCCTCTTTTGACTATGCGATACTCGTGCTAATCATGGAGAGTTTACATTAAAAATATCTTGGGTAGCGATATCGGTACCAATCATCTCTTTGAATGTTTGTATTCTCGCTTTATATGTACTCTCTCATCCACGTGCACGTGCAATGTCATCTCTATATTTGTACCAATTATATGCGACAAGTGGAATTGGGCAATTGGACTTCTAGTTCACCTGTGCAAGTGATAAATCAAATTAGTAGCAATAAGTTCACCAATGACATATAGTTAAATAATTAAAATAGAATACCTGACAAAGTGATTGTCATTCACAAAACCCAATTATATAATCTTATGATTTCATGGTAGAGGAGGTAGAGAGTGCAATGGTAGGAATGTCAAACATTGTATAGAAGATAGAAGGACAAGCACTACACCATACCGAGAAGCTATCAAATGGCCCATGTCAAGCATTGTCATCCATCGATCAAATGGGGCACCAATATTAAAGTAATCCATAATATATAAAAACTCATTCACCCTTTCAATGCCGCCATATAGTTTTACTTAAGCATCATAATTAGATTTCATTTCAGTAATAAAGTCACGTCGAATATGTAACCAAGCCTCTTCTCCTAATCCAAGGGAACTAGCCACTGCCCTAAAACCACAATGACCATCGGACTTGACATCAACAATGTTAAATATGCAATCTTTGACTTTGTCATGGAAACATGTTGTATAATGGTATAAAGTGTTCTAACAAGCGCGCCTAACTTCAAGTTTATCCTTCTTTGGAAATTTGGCGGAGCTGTTGCTGCTATGAAAATGTCTATTATTACCTGAGTCAACAATTTCAAAATATGAAGGACTTCTTTTAGTTGAAGTATCGATTTTTTATGAAGGTCAGCCTTTGGTTTTAGCTTTCTCAGTAGGCGGCACCAAAGAAGTACCTTTCCTACATTGTTGCATTCGCCAAACAATCTTTGAATACTCTCTAATTCAACTACAATATTCAACGTAGAAGAAGCATCATTTGATGGAACCATAATATCTAACTTTCTCCAATGAGGGTGAACAACTGAGAAAGGAATTGGGCGACCTGTAACTATGTATTCTGAAATCTCACATGTACAGGGCAAACCATGTGTGGATCTAAGAATGCAATTACAAGCATTTTTGTACAAACCAATATTTTCTGCTTGATTTGACTGTCTTGATATAAGATCTATCGCATTCTTAGACACGAAACCACGTAACTCCTTAAAGAAGCTACATTTGAAGTTATGCTAAACCAAATTCACACTTTGTTCAAAGGAAGCTTTTATCTCACTGAATTCAATTCCAATAGGTGATGCATAACTTTCCAAGAAGTTTCAAAATCGCCTTGTGATGATCCAAGATGTTTCTTCAACTTAGAATGTCCACTCTCTACCCTGTGAATAAATAAATATATTTTATTTAATTAGATAAATGGACAATAATTTGTTTGTCGATTAAAAAACAAATGTTGATGATAAAATTAAATATAAGCATTATTAATTTTACATGTTTGTTGTGACATTACCGAATTGCATAATTTTATTCGTCCAAGCAGCAATGAATTTCTCTTTATATTTACTCAACCAAGATCATGTAACATAATCCAATGCCTTTGGAAATTGTTCAAATTGGAGAGATAAAGTTTTGGCCAATTGTTCATATTTCTCTTCCGTAGTAGATGCAACAAGTATGCTCCAACTCCTACAAAAGTATCCCATTCTTCTTTTCTAAATGTTATGCCGCTAGATGATTATGTAGTCCACATAACACCTTTAAAATCCAATCGTCCTCAGTTGACAATTTAACACCTTTTAAATCAAATGGGCATTCACACTTATGTGTTCCAACAGACCTCTTACATTTTGGTTCATGACCTGAAAGATTAATACGGTTTTTATATTTTCCACTACACTCACATCCATATCGTATACGAGGCTTGCGTCCATAACCACCATGCTCAGAATGTGTTATAACAATAACCAAACCAAGTTCCTTCCCAACCATACAAACCAAATTAGATAATGACTCTCAACTATGGAATACCTACACAATCAATATAAAAAAATTGTACCAAAAGTTGAATTAGTAGACGTAAATTTAATATTTTCTTTATTCATACTTGGTCAGTAGTGAAGTTTTCCGTATAATCGTATATATTGAAGTTGTCATCATTTTCCTAACATTTAGAAAAAATGAAATCAGATTATGATAAGTTATGAAAATCTAAATTTATTACGGTCATACAAAAAACACAATATAACAATAAAAACTTACATCTTGTTGACTAAGAACAACTTTCAAGAATTCAGATGAAGTCGTAGTGTCAATAGCTGCATTCATTCTCGTTTAACTAAATATCATAATGTAGTAAGAAAGGTGAAAACAAATCGACTCATAGAAGCTTCGTAATTCAGTAATAAACTACAACATGTAAGAAATGTAAAACATACTTTAAAAACTACCAAGAAATCAATTTATCTAAATAAACTGAAAGGGCCACAAGAATGCCCATAATTTAAGCATATGGAGAAATACTAGAAAAAATACCTTCAAGAAGTTGACGATGCCCACCATTTTTTATCTAACTGAAAGCTGACCTTCATCAAAAATGAACTAACAAAGTCTATACGAGACATCCCCAACTATCTATCTATTCATTACCTTATTGGATAATGCCACTGTACACCATTTTTTCTATGACATGCTTGACATAACATTGTTAGCAAAAAGTGATTGGCTGAAAGAACATTTTTTTTAAGCCCATGTTTGACATCCATTAGATCAAAACTCTTTTTTCCTCAAATTTATTTTCAACCACACATTCACACAATAAAATATTTTATACATAAACATAAAAATTTTCCCACTTTGTAGCGACACATTCTAAAAAAATCATTGTTCCAAAACTCATTTTCCCAAAAAAAAAAAAATCTTTAAAATGGACGTCAATCAGGGGCTTAGAGTTAGAGACAGAATCCTTCGTCGGCATTCCACTACGTTCTTCGATAGATATACTGAGAGACCATTATCTAGAATGAACAAAAATATCCAAAAGATAAAACTGTCATTAAAAAAATATTAAAACCCTAATTATGTAATTTTACTTAAGGATATTTAAGTAAATAAGAAATTTCTGGTGTTGTAATTAAAATTTGTAGTGGTAATATAGTTACCCAATCCATATTTCCTACACCAAATCAATTCAAGAAAAAATTATTTCTAAATTCTTCACTCTATTCAAAATATTATGTTGTTTTTATTTTGCAGAATTTAATTTCAGTCCCAATTATTTAAAAAAAAAAATTATGTTCGAACAATTTTAGTTTCTATTCAATTTGTGAAAAATGTTGTCAACACTTCGGTTCACCCTAAAAATTAATATTGTGCTATATTAATTTTTAAAAAAAAAAAACGTTGTATCTTGAGAGACAGACATCCATTTGATCTTGTTAACACCAATGTAAGAACGAAATCTATTTTAAGGAGATTTACAATTGTATACCTCGCTTCATTTCGTCTCCTCCTATTTTTATACATTTCAACGAGTCACGTTTGATTGTATTTTCCTGCACCTAACTTGATTTTGACAAGTCCGAATTCCATACGATATTTTGCAAGTAAAATGTTAGTTGTCGAATATAAATTATGCATCAATTTATCCAACAATCTTAAGACAAATTCAGCTTATATGATTTTTCTAGTTCATTCATTTTTCACTGTTGAATTTTACGTGAAATTCAATTTTGCATATAGAATTTGCAGAAAGTGTTACTAATTTAGATTGCACGAATAAATTTATTTTAGTAATCATATTCATGTATTGCACATGTATTGTGTGATTAAAATATCTGATTGTATTAAACTTATTAGAGCATAATATATGTCATTTATATGTGATTTCTAACAAGAAAGATGTATGAAATAATGAGTTTGTTATGAATACAATTGTGTCAATTGAATTTGTATGAAAAATAGATAACTACATATTTGCATTATATATGAAAATTATTGAATGTCTACTTATTTTCGGTTTGCGGTAATTGGGTCAAATAGCCTATTTTATAATACACTTCGGAATTTTAGCCTTTGACCAAAATAATATTTTGAAAATAAATAGTTTAAATCTTAATTTATAAACTACCTAATATACCTTTATTCAACAAAACGTAATTTCCCATTTTCTCAAATCAATTGAATTCCCAAAATCCTAAATCTAATACATTTCTTCTCTCTTGCAATCCCCAAACCGTTCCTATTTTCTCTTCGTGGTTTTGTCATCTCCAAATCCTTCTATCATTCAAAATCGGTTGCCTGCTTCCATGCCTTCTGATTCTTCTCTGCATTTTTTTCTCTGCACCTCGATCTTCTATTTTCCCCGAGTCATCTCTTTCTCTCTCTCTCTCTCTCTCTCTCTCTAACTCACTATGTTGTAAGTACGATGATGCAGTCGAATTGGTTGACGGGAAGAGTCGAATGAGAATGATGGAGAAAGGGGGCTGGACCAGGTTAACTCGTGGTCACAATGGAGTGAAATGAGGAATTTGGTATGAATGTTTCATCCATTTCCCAAGATTGATAGAACTGAAACTCGTGAAAAATCACTCATACGTGAACAATAACTTATAAGAACCAATTTTATAGTGGGCTATCCTCAAGTATGAATGTTTCCTCAATTGTTCACTTTTACTACGATTTTATGCGAAATTTTTTAGCAAAATTAGTGCCGCGAGAATTATACCGATAGCTTAATATTTATACCGATAGTTCAACTTGAAATAAATAGAGACGGATAGGAAATGGGGAGGAGGGAGAAGGGAGAACAAAGAACAAAGAAGAAAAGAAAGTAAAAAAATTCAAAACCAATAATCATGGCAGGTGACTTGGCAGAGCTGAAATTGTTCATATAAGGATATTGTAGTTTGTGGGAAGAAAGATATTGAGTTGGTGTTGGTTGTCATAGTGCTTGTAGATGAAGGTTTTAATGGGTATGCACTAGCTAGTGTCGGATATATGCAAACAAGAAGAGATTAGATATTTCTACTTTATTTTTGTGTTGAGCAAAATGGTCTATTCTTCAACTTTTAAGCTTGTAATGCCTAAAAACTTTCTTATAAAAATGGGGTTACTTTATCATCTTCCCCATGACTGGAACTAATAGATGGTAGTATTTTGCATGTGTTTACATGGTGACAATTACATTTACTTGGTTGAACTTTTGATAATTGATATGTTATTTACTTAATCTTCCAGTATGGCATTCTAAAGTTTATCTAGTTCTGAAAATGGTACCTTGTCATTTATGAAATTCTGAAAAATGTCACCTTGCTGTTTATCTATTTTTGAAAATGAATTGTACTAAGTATCACTTAACATTACTGTAAATTCTTTATATTTGTTCATTGATATAGAAATGGAACACTTATTTGAGGTCGTGATTCCCGCTAAAGATAGAATTAAAGGTAGACATTCACAAAAGTGCTCCCCTCAGAAACTTGATTATGTTCGATAGATGTTAGATAATGTTCACTAAAAATGGTCATAGAATTTTGTTTTGGACAAATATATCAAATGAAGTGTATACATTTTTCAGCCCAACTAATCCACCAGCTTGTAATGAGGATAATTGTGACAAAAAAAAATGAGATCTGGTTTTCACAGGGTATCAATTTCAATAATTGTCATTCATCCATACATAACAAACTTGAATTAATGGATACAAACTCTAAATTAGTAAAAACGTCAGCCATACAATTCAAACGACCAGATGTTGTTTTAGTCTGAACAAAGTGATGCTGTCATTGTTACCAAAAACTTGATCAAAATAGATAGAAGGATTTATCAAAAACCATCACAATTTAAAACTTATGTTCAACAATTAACATTCATACATCCATAACAAACATGAATGAACACGAAATGAGTACAATCGTTACTCATACGTTTAAAACAACCATATGTCATTTTCATATGAACAAAGAGTGCTGCTGTCATAGTTATCTAATATCCGACTGAAACAACTATCAGAATTTATTAAAAAACCATCACGGTGTAAAGATTAGATTGGACAATTAACATTCATCCATAACAATTAATCAAAACTATGACAATCTATCAAAAACCATCATAATTTATCCACAATTTCAAGATTAAGTTCGAAAGAAAAACAAGTCCCATGATTTGTCTACTAGTCTAAAGCATTTTTGCAAGTCAGGCGATTATAGCATTTTCTGACCACACCTACTACATTTACGAGCCTTTTTTCCCCCTCCTCTTGATGGAAACCGACGGTTTTTTGGGCGCNGGAATCCAACAATTTTTTGGGTGCCCACTTTGTCATCAATTCAAAAAGGGCGGTAATACATTAATTTGATTGGGGATTTTCCAGTCAGCCTCATTTACCATTGGATATTTGGCATATGCTTGTTTCCAACTAGTACTACTATAATAAGGCGAGCACAAATTGAAACAAGATATTCCCTTAAACTTTGCTACAGCAAGAGCATGTTTGCAAGGAAGCTTTTCCAAATCAAATTCTCTACATGTACAGGTTTTTGCCTCCAAGTTAACAATATGCTTCATTTTCAACACCCACATGTAACTCGTACTCATTTATTGGTACCACTATCAGCCCCTTTGCATCATCATACTTTGTTCGTATTTTATCCTCAATAGGTGGAGTTAGAGTAGATACACACTTTTCAGCCTCAATGTGTCTCTCATAAAACCATTTCTGTAAAGTCTTCTGATTTTCTCAACCATAGCAAGTACTGGAAACTTGCGAACATTCTTGAATAACGAGTTCAATGATTTTGCATTGTTAGTTGTCATAATATTGTAACGAATCCCTTTGAAATATGCTCGATATCAAAATTTATACCCAACTTTCTTTTCTAGGTATTCTCCAACTGCCGAACTTTTACGATATAGGTTTGCCATTGATTTTTCAAAACTAATCAAACTATACTCCTTTGCTATTGCCATGAAAAACGGCAGAATATCGATCCTATGATAATTAGACTTTATGTTTAGTTGTAGATGCCACATGCAGCATCCATGATGTGCATTAGGATAAACAATCTTTATAGTTTTATGAATGCTATCCTTGCGATCAGAAATAAAAACAAGCCCTTCCAACATACCTAATATCTGAAACAACTTATTGAAGAACCAAGTCCACGATGCGTCATTTTCGGAATCAACAATGCCAAATGCAAGAGGATATATCTGAAGATTTGCATCTTGACACGTGGCAACAAGTAACATACCTCGAAATTTAGATTTAAGAAATGTTCCATCCACAGAAATGGCCCGTCTCATTGATGAGTGAAAACGATGTATGCTTGGTCCTTCAATGAACGTCACTATACCGGGGATTATTCTTCTTTAGAATATTGCAATATTTGGCCAATCTATAATAACTAAGTTCATGTGAACCCCTTAGTAGCTCTAAAGTACATTCTCTAGCCATCCACACCTTATAACAATTTATATCTATGCCAAACTCTCGACGAATATCAATTTGAATCTTCGAAGGACTGTATATAACGTTGGGATCCTCAAACTTCGACACGATGTGTTTTCCAATCACCCAATAAGTAGCTTGTCTATGGTCTTTGTAGCGAACATCTAGTGAAAAAATATGGTAACGTAAATACTTTTGAATCTCAAATTCATCACTTTCCTTCAATTGTGTTGCCCAAAAACGCCATTTGCAAATTTCATCAACACAAACTATTACATATGTATTCTTATTTGACTTAGTGACCTTAAATTCAAAAGAGTTTCTTAAAGCAAGCATTTGAAGTGAAGCCTAGGGATCCTTCTTATTGCGAAAAATTTGGTTAATGTGTGCATCATCTACGTCAGGAATCTTAACTGATGTTCCACAAGGATTCAAAGAAACAACAACTTGTGAAATGCTAATAATCTCATCTGCCAACGTAAATGGTGTATTTTGTGTAACATTGTCTTCATTCATCATATGAAAAACCATCTTCGTGGTTGTTACACACTATTTCCACTCCCATCCCAATAATCATCACTTGTAAAGTTCACACAATTATTTTCACTATTTTGATTAAATGGAGATAACGGTTCCATATTATTGTCACCAGACTTATCTTTTTGCATATTGCATTCATCCATATCTTTCACATTATCTACAACAATTTTAGAATTGTATTCATGATTCTCCTAAATATTTACCATATCAAGCTCCATATCTTGTTGATCATCAACATAACCCTTTTCCACAAAGGTTACACAAATTGGAAATTGGTCATGCAAAGATAGAAACCAACTAACATCTATATCGCAATTAGTCTTCATTGGCGGAACTGATAATTTTGTCATGTCATGTACAAGAAATTTCATCTCGATGTCATACATGATAGAATCAACCTTAACCGCTTTTTTGACTTCCTCATACAACTCCATATGTGAAATATTTTTTGACACAAAAATATTTGTTGCAGTGTCTTGATCATTCCCTATCCATTTCCAAATCCATACACCTTAATCACTCTTTTCAAATTCAACTAAATAATAAATGACAATCATTACACCAGAATCCATACCTGCAATTCACCAAAACATATGCAATATATTATTCTATTAATTATCGATACCGAATACTATAAAATAGAGCTTCAATAATAAACAAAAAACAACCAATATTATTACATAACATATTTACATTAGATTAAAAAAAAAAAAGGCATTATGTAGTTTAAAACGTGTATTTACCANTTTGTTTACGCAATTGATTTTTCATAGTATACAACTAGAAAATAACAAGAAATCGTTAATTTTAAAATTATAAAGCATACCCTCAATTGTTTGAAATCGATTCTTGCTCACCCATTTTCAAAATTTGCAGTGTTTGATTTGTCCTTGGTTCAAATAAAAAAACTTCAGAGTGTAGATAATGTATATAAAAAGAAGAAAGTTAGATTTGAAGGTGAGTCTAAGATGGTGAAAGTGGGTTTGAAAACGTTAGAATGAACAAGGATTTAGGATGACTTAGAGATTTATGTTTGGGGATATGGTAAATGTTTATCTTCAAAGTAAACATTTTAGTCATTTCAATTTAACGGTATTTAAGACTTTTAATAAATGATCAAATAGACTACAAACTCCTTGAACAATAAGTATTGTTATAGGCTATTTTACTAAACATTATGGTTGACTAGGCTTTTTAAGCAAATTCCCCATTTGGTTTCTTGTGAATCAATACCAATATTCATTAGAAGGGCTGACATGAATAAATGGATGAACTAAAATTCAATTATTCATATTATCTGTTTATACGTTTGCAAAAAAAGTTTGTTTTTTCTTGTTTAAGGAGACTATAATTGAGAAATAATTGTATACGTGTACAATAAACAAGGCAATTGAAAAAATCTCTTGGAAAGGAACATCTGCCAACATTTGATATGAAAGTGCATGACTTTCACTAGATATTAACATCCCGCTCAAAGGATAAAACGAAATCGATAATGATATATTTGATATATAGTCTCACTTAATTTTGATTAAATTATGTGAGATGGTATTTGTGCAAAATAGAAATCGTATTATATTATCACATTAGTAATGATTGCACAATGGAAGTGTGTTTAAGCATTATGGAATTGAGAATTGCCTCTAGACAAGTGATGATGTGAAAAGAGTTGATAAATATTAAATTTGGTTCAACCTGGGAATTGTGATCGAACAGTTCATTCTCAACATAGGACTTCGCAGGGTAGTATTGTCTATATATCACATTTTTATAATTACCTTATATGTCATAGAAAAATTTCTATGAAGATAGAAATGTTGAAAACCATTGTATCTATGAGAATATTATAAAAAGATGACGGACCTTAAATCAAAAGTGATTAAAATTAACAGTCCTAAATATGAAAGTGCATGAACTTTCATAGTTCATGAGAAATGGACATTTCTAGTCATTTATATGTTGACTAGAAGTTGAATAAAATTATGTAACTGGCAGATAAGCATAAATAACGATATAATCAAATTTTATATAGTTTGATAAATATTATGTTGCTAACTTAAGTCCTACGCATAATTGTAAAATATAATTATTGTTTGAATAATATTTTCAATTAAAGTTCGGATGCACACCAGAACTTGTGGGGGTGGCGATGCTTTCCTCAAATTAGAATTAAAATATATGAAATGATAAACTGCAATGTAATGAATATCTTATTAAATTTAAGATGCACACGTTTAAAATTGGATATCCGATGAAAGGATTCAAGATCTAATAGTAAATATATTTCATTATTGAAAGTATAGTTATTTCCTGAAAATCATCCAAACAATTCGAGAATTGAAAGATAAAATTGGAGCTTTAAATGAAGTTAAATGGAAGCATGATTACTACATATGATTTAATCAAAATAATTAACTACATATGTATGACATAGAATGTCGTATATAATGATAAGTCTTGACATACATATCATAGATATAATACCATTTGGCAATTGTTCTCAAACCGAACAATGTCAATTGATTTTGTTAAATTACAGAATACCTTAACAAATTCGTTTACAAATGAGTTATTTAGAGATAATAGACAATGTATCGAGGAAAATAGTTTTAAAGCCTAAACTAATTGGCTAGTTTAATGGAAACCTAACCTCATGATTGGAGATTTCACAGACTATGATTAATAGAAAAACTAGTTATGATTGATTCGATGAGAAGTACTTCAAAGTTTTAACCTTTTCCCAGTTCTATGAAGTAAATTAGTGTTGCCTACCAAAGATCAATTAGGATAAGCTATTCTTTTAGAGATGACAAATTCTGTAGAATAGTACAAATAGAGTATTGGGGGGTACTCTTTATAAAACATCACATATGTGAGTGCAAATTTAGCTGATTTTGTGAGAATTTTGCTCAGGCAGATTTTCTAGCTCGCTTGCATAACTCAAGAAGGTTCATGATTGAAATAATAAACACAATAGAGAAACAAAGTTTGGCATGAGAGATAACGTGTTTGATCTATCATCTATGCTTATAATAATGGTCGAAAGTTTAAAACATTGTTTTTAGTGATTTTGATAGATTCTTGCAATAGTGGTCGACAGTTTAAAAAGTTGTTTTTGGGTTGACTCTTTCTATTCATCTGGGAGATTGATAGAATTTACGTGATAATTTTTATAGGTGTGAATTGAAAAAGTTTTTAATTGGTATGATGATTAATCGTGACTCTTCAAGTGCAAAGAGTTCATATCAAAGAGTCATATTGTTTTGAATTAAGTGTAACTATTTAAATAGGTACATTATGAATAGTTATGACCTTTTAAGCTATATCATTAAATTTGAATAGATGTGATCTAATGGTCCATATTAATTTATTCTAAATATACAACCATTTTGAAAATGATGCTTAAAAATTTGTAACTAGGGACCTCTAAATCCATGTTTCTTACACAAATTCAACTCAAGAAAAAATGATTTCTAAATTTACTCTCTTCAAAATATTCTATTATTTTTATTTTACTGAAATTAATTTTCATCGGAATTATTTTCAAAATTAAAATTATGTTCGAGCAATTTTAGTTCATGCATATTTTCTTCGAGAAGAATACCATCAATACTTTGGTTCATCCGAAAAAATTAATATTGTATTATATTAATTTTAGAAGAAATGTCTTATCTTGGGAGACATTCGTTCATTTGATCTTGTCAACACTAGTATAGGTAGCGAAATCTATCTTAAGAAAATTTGTAATCGCATACCTTATTTCATATCATCTCTTTCTATTTTTCTACATTTCAGTAAGTCAAGATTTGATCATATTTCTTTGTATGTATCTGGATTTCGATAAGTTAAAACTCTATAAATATTTTGTACGTAAAATGTTAGTTGTCGAATATAAATTACGCACCAATTTATCCAACAAAATGGTTTTAAATAATAAATATGTAAGTACTAAAACCTAGTTAATTAAAAAAATTATCTCAATTATTCATTTCAACCAAGACACATCAGTCAGTCGGAACTTCCTACAAACAGTTTTACTAACAGTTCTGACTGTGATAGTTTAACAGATTATGTTCTACAAGATATAATCTATTGCGAAATTAAATAAAGATAAACACCAGATATAACATGATAAACCCCTAAGGGAGACATAGGATAAAACAAAATGCAATAGTTTCGATTTTGTAATTTCACAAAATTAACAAAAACAATCAAAAGCAAGTAAAGAACAAATCCCTCATTTTATTTCTTCTTTTGACTTGTTGAAGAAGTAGAATCAAACCCTTCAGTCTTAACTTTATCGCCACTTCACTAT